TTTCGTTACAACTTTAATTCCAAGCATTTAATTTTTTTCACATGTATACAACCACCATTTAAAGTGGGAAAGTGGTATGAGAATTCTTTTGTAATTTTATTAAATCTGATTTGTGAAAGAGACCAGTGACTCAGTAGGACTTGGAACATGCTAATAGATTATATGCTGTAACAAAATGTTGCTTTGTATTGCCACTCAGGCAGCTACAGTTGCAAGTGTAGTTATTACTTGCTACAATATCGCCCAGTTTAAAAAAATTATCAAAAGAAGTTCATGCTATTGACTCATTACTCTCATATTTATTATTCTTATTGAAAATCACTAGATTTAATTCTATTGGTTTCCTCCTTGATTGAAAACATTTGAACCTAGAAAGCACAGTATTTCTTAAGACATTTGTAACTATTCATCACGGATATTAAAATTACAATCATGCGGTATTGTGTGAGCACTGGTTTAAAAAAAAAAAATCTTTACACATATGGTAAGTGGGTGACCAATGCTATCCAGGTTTGAAGATGCTGAATGTTCATATAACTGGCATTTGAAATTTTGATGTGTATTGCATTCGTTACTGAATATCAAGAATACATTTTTTGCTCATATAGAGTAAGTTTAAAATGGGGTCTTTTGTAGAAGCACCCATCCTGTTTAGAATGATATAACAGATGCTGAATGTTCACATATCAAACAAAATGCCAGCTTTCTGTAGAAAAGAGGTGTCAAAAAGTTTCTTTGTACCTTTACCGCATGTGATTATGTAGTACAAAATGCAGAGTTTGTAAAATTTCTTGAATATACAGGCAAAAAAATGAATAATTCAAAACAACTCATAAGTTCTACATTCTATTGTCCCTTTATAACGCAGGCAGAAGATAGCAGTGCACTCCCAATAGAGCTGAATTTGCACAAGTTACACCTCGGAAAATGCCAGATGGTCTATGGTCTACTTTTGAGAGCTGTCACATATGTAAAGATTTGAAAAAAGAAAGACAGCTGAATGAGAGCAGTGGATCATTAAAGGGAGAGTGAGGGTCCCTAGGCATCACTTGTGTTTTAAGAAGCATTGTGTCATTCCCATATGAGTGTGCTTTTTTTTTTTAAAGCCATACACAACTTTTACACAATAAGGAAATCTATTTAAAGCCAAGTAGTTAGGGTTTAATCAGTCAGATGTTTTTGTTCTTTATTTGAGAATAAATTCATGTTTCTGACTTGGTTTTACTTATAATTTGACTGTGAGATTCAAGTCACACCCATGAAAAATTAGCAGTGAAGTTGAAGTAAATGTTAATATAGCTAATATATCTAGGGTTTATCCATTTTTAATTTGACTTATGTAAGCATGTATCTGCCCAAATCCTAAAACTAAGAAGTTATTTTAATAAAAAAACTATTATTAAAAAAAAACTAGCATAAAGAGATAATACTTGGTTACCTGATCATAATACAAACCATAGTAAAAATAATTAGATGACAGTGAAACAAAAATGAATGTACTATCATTTATCTGCCAACAGAAATAGATATCCTCTTGAAGATTGAAATGTAGATATATCATTAAGGATGTGTTTGAATACCACTTGAGCCATACCTAGTAATTTGCAAATAGTCAATTTTGATAGTAGAAAAAGTTTGAGAAGTTGGTGGCAAGACATAGTTGTCTTTTACCACCTTTTGTTTTTTAATTTATTTGTTGAGAATGTTTTAACTACACAGTTCTAAATTTATCTTGAATTAGGGACTGTGACAGGATATTTTTGGTTGGTAAGCAGTCTCCTTATGGTCAGTTGGACATTTCAATTTAACCAAGCTCTCAGATTGCTTTTGAAATATTCTTTTTGGAGAAAACATGACCCAAGAATTCCATTTATTTGGGGAAATTATGGGTAAGTGCTCTGAAAAGAACACCACATTAGGTCCACCTGTCTTCTTTGGCATCCCTTTAAATACATATGCATAACTCTGTGTTCACCAGGGGTAATGATTATGGTGTCCTCTAGTTGATGCAAGTTACAGGGACAGCAGATTAATCTTTGTATCAAACGATTGCACACCTGTAAGACCTAGATCTCCCTTTGCAGATGCCTTGTTGATTTTTGTTATGAGAAGGACATATATAGATGCTAAACAGAGAAGTAAATTTTTCTCATCAGGAGAAAGGAGAAAAACAAAATATTGTGATATGTTTTACCACCATTGGTTTAATTTTTAGACAATCATTCTCCTGTATCACTGAAGAACTGGAAAAGTGTAAGGGATCTCATAGGTTAGTTTAATAAATCAGGCATTAATGTCAACAGATTTGGTATGAAAGCATGCTTTTGTTTAAGTTTAAAAAATGTCTTTTTTCTTGAAATATGAACATTCATGAGTTAGAATGTTTTGATATGTTAAGATGTTTTTCTTCAAGAGACAGAGGATATGTGAACAGGAAGGGAAGTAAACAGTGTGTGCTAGAGACTTACGCACATGCAAACGGTCTTCTTTGTCAAAAATATATACCAGTCTTAGATAATCCCCAGAACACAGATAATCAGACAGAGTCAATGCCACGTATAATTGTTACTGCTTTGCACGCAATGCTTTTCTTGGTTGAAGAGTTCTTAGTATTCAGGTGTAATATACATTTTATAGCTGCTCATACTCATAAATGGAAAAGAAGACTAATTAAAACAGCAGTTTCATATTTTGAAATTGCAGGACATTATAAAACAGTAAAATTTTGGCAACAAATTGTTTATATGGGTGTTTTTTGCTGAAGTGCTATGATTGACAGCTTTGCTTGGGAGCTACTCAATCAAGGTGAATGTAGATTTTAATAATCTCATTACTTAACCAATGTAAAATAACACTGGGGTGGGGGAGTCAGGGCTCTTTAGCTGCAAACTCTAGAATCCATTTTTGCTAATTTAAATAGAAAATAAATTTATGAGCATACAGACCCTCCTAAGAGTTACACAGCCACAGATCTTTTCCATGTATTCAATGGGGCTTCTTTTTGAAAACCCCACTGCTACAGCATTGGCCTATTGGTCTGCTAGGAAGTGGACATCAGACACCACAGCCCGCTGACAAAACCAATAAATGCCTTCTACAGGGTCTGTGCTGAGAGGTTCCACCTCCCTGGTGGAGGCAGATGCCTTCTTGCATTGACCACTCTGCATGTAAGTCATACTTGTGCTTAGTAGAACTTAGATCACATACCTGCTCATTAGCTGCAGATGAGTATAGGAATGGAATAGAGGAGTTTACTAAAAATCTGTGAGGGTGTTCAGAAATGCCAGGCAGCACAGATGATGGATAGTCACCCTGCTTTTTTTATGATTCATTGTCCAAAGAATCAAATTAGTTTGCCCCTCCTTAGTGTCACGGTATTAAAATAGTGTTACATTTTTTTTTCAATCTGAAATGGTTTGCTTTTCATATACAGGCATTGAATCTATCTGTAATTTATTTCTGTAAGGTATACGTACACCTAAATGTGTGTACACATACATGTTGGGAATTCTCTCTGTGAGTGCCCTGGCTTATATGTCTGTGCCTGGACTAACACCACACCACTTAGTTCCTGTCATTTTTTAATAAGACCATATATGTAGTAAGTCAAATGCTGAAACCCTCTTTTGCTTCCTGAAAATTTCTTTGGTGACTGTTGATTTTTCTTCCTCATAAATTCTTGGATCACCTTGTCAAGTTCCCTGAACAAGCCTGTTGGACATTTTATGGGAATTACACTAAATAAATAAATTGGGGAGAAGTAACATTTATATGCTCTACAGTTAGTAGGGTTTTCTTTAATCTCCTTCAGTATTGTTTTGTAATTTTTGCCAGAAAAATTCTCTGCCCATTTTTTCCTAGCTTAATTCTTAGATACAGTGATTTGTTGCCTTTTGTTTTTGTTTTTGTTTGCTTGCCTGCTTGTTTGTGTTTGCTTTTGTTCATGATATTGTGAAGAGTTTATTTTTTTCTTTCTATTTGGTTTCTGTTGGCGTAGAGGATCTTTTTTTTTTTTTTATTTTAATGTGGTTGATCTTGTATATACCTTGTTAAATTCTTAGAGTTTCAAGATTTGCAGTCTCCTACCTTTCCCCCAGAACATTCAAATCAGGTATATGTCTCAAAAAAAATTTCTCTCAGACCTGTTACTTCTTTTTCATATTTATTGTTTTCTCCAGGACCTCTAGAGTAGTGTCGAATAAGAGGGTTGAAGCCAGGCTGCTTGTTCTTGGTCTTGACCTAAATGGGAGCATGTCTATAGTGCTGACTTTTAACTCTGGCAGATGTGTTTTATCAGATTAAGGAAACGGTCTTCTATTCCTACCTTTTCATAGATATCGAATTAAAGAATACATCTAGAAAAGGTTTTCTTCTCCAAGATTTATAATGAAATTGAAGGGGCACCTGGCTGGCTCAGTTGGAAAAAGCATGTGACTCTTGACCTTAGCGTCCTGAGTTCAAGCCCCACATTGGGTGTAGAGATTACTTACATAAATAAACTTTAAGAATGAAATGAAGTGATATTGAAAAGAAAAACAACTGTATTTCCTTCTCTATTGTCCAGCTTTGACACTTGAATTAATTGTTCTTTTCCTTTTATCTCAAAAGACAATTATTTTACCCCATTATCAGAGATATTGAGATAATATTGCTGTGTTTCTAGAGGGGCCCAGTGCATAGAAAACAAACATTTGCTGTTGAAAGAGTGTGGAATAACTTTTCCAGATTTCCAACTAAAATTTTCTTAAAAAGCCAAACCGTCCTTCCTGCTATTTTCCTATTCTTTGGGTAAAGTCACTTTAGATGACTCTGTTCCCATTTAGCCTTTTGTGTTAATTGTTTTCTCTGTGTTCATGCTTATTAATATTTCCTTCTTGTATTTCCTTCTCAATTTTTTAATACCATGGGTAAAACCCAGAAAAAAAAATCTGTTAGTGAATATATTTTGATGACTTTCAAATATTTCTTTTTTAACTGGATCAACTTTTCCTGTTGTTTAGCCCAACCTCAGCGCCTGCCTCAGCTTCAAACGTCCCTACAGGAGCCAAGTGAGGAGGAAAGCGGGAAGATAAAGAACGGCCACACTAGTCTGAGCAATGGAAATGGAATTCACCACCACGGGGCCAAAAACATATCTGCAGATAATCGAAGACTCTCAGCACCCGTTTCTCACAAAATGCATAGAAAAATTCAGTCCAGCTTGTCCGTAAACAGCGATATCAGTAAGAAGAGTAAAGTAAATGCTGTCTTTTCCCAAAAGACAGGCTCTTCACCCGAAGGTAAGTTTGAGATACACGCTTACTTTATCTGACCAGATATAAAATTGTATTCACCATTAACTACTTGATCAAACATGAATGAAGCATGTTGCTCATCTTTCAGACAAACAGGAGTTTTGGTAAAACGCAACATCTGCAGAGGGAAACACAGGCTTGGAAAGGAAGTGTTAGCCGCTGACATCCTGCTTTAGATTATTGTCTTCTAGAGTGAATAGTCAGGACTTGAAATAGAACTGATAGACCTATTTTTTTTTATACCGCATTGAAAAATACAGATGCAACATTCTGGTGGCGTATGAATGTGTTTTCTCTGTCCCTGATTCATTATGATAGTCTGTGGTTTGGAGATAAGATGACTTGTTTGTATTTTTGTCTTGCAAATCCGTTCTTAAATATGCAAAAGTAAAATGAGGAAAGAAATTGATAATTTTCATGCTCTTGCCAGGGAGTGGGTCGGTGATCGCTGTTGCTTCCCTGCCTAGCGTCTTCCAGCCACCAGTGCTGTCACCCCTTGCATCCCACCTCATTCCCCGGTCACTGTGGTCAGGTTGTGGCCTCTCCTCTGGAGGTACACGGGTGTTCACTGGCCTCTCAGGAGCTACTGATTAGGTCTTCAATCCTGCTTCATCCTGCCTTGGCCAGGTTAGAGTCACGTTAAGTACTAGGAGCTTGAGAAAGGTTTTCTTTATTAGAACACAAGCCCATCTGATGACGGGTTTACAACCCACAACCTCCTTTTCTAAACATGGTTTGCTGTATTATATTTTGTGGTAAAAGAATAGCATCCCTACCATGTGTAAGGTCCCAGATTTCTCCCAGCCTATCCATGCTCCTCTGTTCTTCCTCTTTTCTCTCCTTTAGCAATTCTTAGGGATCAAAAAAACTCAAATCTGTATTTTAGATATAGATATAGACACAGGTATATATTTCCCCCTCTGGTTCTATATCTGATTTTTTTTTTTTTTCTAATTCCCCTCACCTTTCAGTTTTAATTACCATGAAATTTTAAATGAGGCAAATTCTATGGATGCGTCTGTGAAGTTGGCCGTGCTTATTCATAGAGATAAATTGAGTTGTAAATAGGAAATTGTATTGAGAGTTACCAGTAATGAGTGGGAGAAAGGATAATACATTTTGGCTACAGGTGTCCTAGACTCAACTGAGGTAGAGTGTTAGGTTGATCAAATGATATGATAATAAATGGTCTGCATAGTTCCAGGTCAGTGACACTACTTTCCAAACTAATTAGATTCAAAGGGACATGATTGACACTTTAAAATGAGTTTGACATGTAAGGTGTATGGTCATCTCTGAAGCAGAGGTAGGCTGTTAACTAAACTGGCTCTCCAAGGAGTTGGGAAGGCAATGCAATTTTCTTTAGAGTATCTTTGCTTCCAGGTGATTGGGTGAAATAATTGAAATCTACTTGTTTTATACATTTGAATTTACTTATTACAGCCTTAACCTCTTATATTCCATTTGCTATTTACTTATTGTAAAGAATGGTAGATCAGTCCTACCTGAAACGTGTGAATCAATCCAACTTGAAATAGCTTATGGAATTTTTAGAAAATTGTCATTATTTGTTTATTTTTAATACCGTGTCTGAATTTATTTCTAATGGAAGAATACACCTTCCTAAGTAACACTGAAGCAAGAGGAAAATTGATCATGTTGAAATGAAATAGAGTTCTGTTCTCCCTCTTCCTCTCCCTCTCCCAGGCCTGTGAGTGTGTGAGGGAGATAAGGATAAGGGAAGTCCCTTGTCATCCTCCTCTTTATCACCAAATCTTCTCAGGTTGGATTGGGGAATGAGGAATATGAAACATAAATGAAGATGTCTAAATATAGTATCTGACGCCCTGTCCAGAGCTTTGCTGTGAGGCTACAGAATTTGGTTGATTGTATGTTCCTTATGTTGTGATCACTCAAATCTAGATGAAAATGTCCTTGTCCCTGCTCATGTGCTCTTCAACTTGGGCATCCTCATGCTCTTTGATGCTATTTAAAGTTGGGCCCTGCCTTTTAGTTGTGAAGTTAAGTTTATTCTCTGGCAACGTAGTTGTAGTTGAACAGAAAGTGCAGAATTGGTAGATGGCAAATGAAATTACAAAGTGCCGGCCACCAGCTAGCTGGGCAACTTGGCGTTTCTCAGGGGCTGCTTTTTCTATGAAATGGTTTGGAGTAAGGATCCTTCATGTTAGTTTGGGTTCCAAGATTCTGTGTTGCTGTCTCCACAGCAAAACTGCTTCACTTCAGCACAGGTTTCTTGTTCTGCAGAATGGGATTCCTGGCGGAGCAGAAATTTAATACTTGCTGAGTAGGACAGGGCAGGAATGGTTTTGATGAACAGGGATGGTGTCTGGATTTCAGAATAAGTCAGAACAGTAGGTGTCGAACAGGCTTGATTTAGGACACTAATAAAAGTGGATAAAAATTATTTAAAAAATAATGAGGGATTTAATAGTTTTCTTAGTTTCTTTATGTTATATTTTCTTAAGCCTGTATTGTCTATGCCTGTTTGTCCTACAGTAAAATGGGCAAATGAATAGCAAAATAATATTCACTCAGTTCAGCTAAAAATCATTTAACCACAGCTTGACAGTGTGTGTTTTCTGGACAAACGGTGCTAGTCGTTATTTTTTTTTTAACACATAATATTGATGAGGGCATTTTTCTGGTTCAGAAGATGGAATATGAAAATATTTCATATTGCTTCATTAAGAAAAGTAAGGGCCTCTTTGCAGACCAACTTTGGAAAAACCCTTAAGTTGTGGGCCCCCTTTGGGGTATCTGGGCAGCTCAGGGGGTTGAGTGTCTAACTTCAGCTCAAGGCATGATCTCACTGCTTGTGAGTTTGAGCCCCACATCAGGCTCTGTGCTGACAGCTCAGGATTCTCTGCCTCCCTCTCTCTCTGCCCCTACCCCACTCATGCTTTCTCTCAAAAATCAACATTAAAAAAATTTTATAATAAAAATATTTTTAAAAATACATGTGGGCCCCCTTGCTCATGCAGAGCTTAGGGACTGACCCAGCCCCATAATTGAGTCAGTGCATTGGCAACATCTTGTAAGATGCAACTGAGGATTATCTATGGTCTGAGTGGAAGCAGGAATATGTACCATTCATTCTCCTTTTAAGCTATGTTGAGTCACAAGTTAATTGATTCTCTGTGCCTACTTCACTCACATGATTTCGTTTTACCCTCCCAACAGCACTTTAGGTCAATCAATTCTGTGTAATTATCTTATTATAAATGAGGAAACTGAGGCACAGACCGGTCAGGTGAACCCACTGAAATCAATTGGTAAGTGGTAGAAATGAGATGAAACCCCAGACCTTCTGGCTGCATAGTCTATGCTCCTAACCACTGATACTTTGCCTTACCCAAGTTCTTTAAGATAAAGGTAGTTACTGTTCATTCCACCATCATGTCCTGTGTTGTTGGACTTCTCGGTGGATTCAGCAAGGATCTTAGTATACCTTTGCCTTCCTGAAGCCTTTCCTACTCAAACTATAAAACAGTTGTCACACTTTAGCCCTGTGCTTGTTTCCTTTTCCTGCCAGACTAAAGTCCTGAAGAGGCTGGACTGATCGGAGTCATTTTTTTCCTCTTTAATTTATAACGGGGTCCAGCACTGTAGCTTCATAGAGTGTCCCAGCAGCTAATAAGCGATACAGTGTTTTATTCTAAACACCTTTACCCTACTCTTCCTTGAAACTATCACTGGAAAATAAAATAGCTGCTCATATTCATTAAAAAATGTTACTTTAAAAAGTTCCTTTTATGCAATAGAGGAAAAAAATACACATGTTGGAAAATTTTGTACCTTTTATTTAAAGGTTATTAAATAAGTAGATTTCTACTTGTTTTGTATAATTAAATATTTTCATACATACTTAAAATGTCTGATTGCATCACCCAGGTGGAGAGTTTTAAGACTAAATGTTTAAGATTCTTGACCTTTGAAATAATTATAGGATAATTTAGCATCATATAATATTCAAATTGCCATGGGTTTTCATTAGACTCTCAGCCACATTTCTTATCATATTTGAGGTATTCCAGTTACAGCTATATATTTGTATAAATTTAAGTTTCAACAAAAGGGTTTTTAGAACAGACTTTATACCTTTTGGGTTAATATGCCATCTTACATATATACTTCTCCAACCCCAAAGCTCATTGAACATAAATTGAACAAGATAGTCAATTTAGCAGTACCTAGTATCTGTCTCATTTTTAATCACAGACAGGCTGGGTGGCATAGTGATTAGACCACAGACTTTGAAACTAGTCGACTTAGGTTCAACCATTGGCTTTACCACTGACTTGTGATGGGTAGGCTTTGTACCTCAGTATCTTAAGTGTAAAATGGGGATATTATTAGTACCTACTGCATAAGATTGTCATAAAGAGGAGTTGAGTTGATGCCAAATTCATTTGAATTAGAACCACAATCTGGCCCAGATGGATTATCTGGTAAGTATCACTGCTAACATGGTCATCATTAAAGAGCTAGCATTTGTTAAGAATGTTAACTCCCTGAAGAAGGCAGTGACTGGATGGCCATTCAATAGATAGATGAGGGACTTGACGGTAGAGAGAGACATTCAAGGCTGTTAGGAATTAAGGCATTTTGTTCAGGTAATCATAAACAGTGTACTGTTGTCGAAGCTAAATTAGCCATGAGAGTGGAAATGTGACAAAGGGCAAGTCCACAGTATGTGGACCAGCAAGTCCCTGGTATGTCTTATTCCTCAAAAGCTTTAAAACAATTTCTCTGAAGGACACCATTTTATATCGTGTGTATATTTCTTGGAAAAAAATCTTCTCTCCATAATGCAGACATTCCATGGTTGCAGTTGTTTAAACCAGATGCCTTCTTACCTGTTCAATATCACTATCCATTAAGCACCTGCATACAGATTGTCTCTATAACCTGTAGTGTGTTAGAAATTATTGCCAAACATGACATGATGAGTTACTTTAGATTTG